CAATATTTCCTGAACTCTTGCCCTGTTTTCAGATCTGTGGCCGTCAGCACTCTGAACCCACCGTGTGCAGTTCAGGGACGGACGTAAGGTGTGGTTGTTTGCTACGAGGAACACTTTGGCTCTTTGTGAAGCTGCTCTTTAATAATGGATGTTGTGGGACTGCAGATCCCAGGGTGAGGAGGAGGAGGAGGAGGAGGAGGAGGTGGAGGAGGCAGGGACTGGCCAGGTAGAGAGGAAGAGAGGGTTTAAACTCAGTTGAACCCAGTGCTGCTCTGCATGGAGTTGCATGGACGTACAGTGAACACATGTTCAGTCATTCATGCACACACGCTTACACTCTATCTTAATGCACACAAACATGTAAGATGGCAGCGTTACTGACCCGTGAGCAGTTGGGTCGCTGCGTTTCTCCTCTTGTGGCTGTAAAGCAAAATGGTGGCAGAGAGGATTTGTTTTATTAGTTCTTGCAGAGGGGGCTTTGCAGGACTTCACCTCCAGGGAGCTGCAGGGTCACCTCGCCTCGCCAGCTCCTTATTGACTGTAAGCAGACACGGCAATAAACGTAGACGTCGCTGCCAGCACACAGGGTTCCGCCTGGAGATTTATGATGCTCACATACGAATAAAGCAAACACAGATCAGATACCTTCATTTGTCATAATTCTGGAATCCACAGCGTCACTAAAGAATCAGATGTGTTTAGCAGCTGCGGCGTGTTTTTTTGTGTTCAACATAAATTCAATTTGGTTAATTAGCGACTCTAAATGCCCCATAGAACTTTAATGTAACGTTTACAAACGAGGCATTTCATTCAGAATCAATGGACGCTGCCTTCAGCCAGGTTGGAGCGCAGCAGTGGACACAGGCATTCAGCCAATCAGACGACAGCAGCCAAACGCTGGATTCCCTGTTTGTTAGGGCTATAGTGTGTTTTCTCCGCATGTGGTGCGGATGTGTATTTGTGTCACTATATTTATTATTAATATTCTTAAATAATGAAAATCATTCCTCTAAACAGACAGTGTCTTGTCTTTTGCATTGACGGTTCATCAAACCTGCAGATTTACAGTACCTGGCCTCGTAGCAAGAGACGCTGCGATGCTGCCACATGCATCGTCGTAAAAGATGCAACCTTACATTGTTAGGATATCACTTTAAAATAAAAAGTGCTGACGCGCGGTGCTCCTCTCAGAGAAGTATCTGTCAGGTGTTATTATTAGTGCTGTTATTTGTCCGAGATGTCTTGTTCTGCTGCCGTGTGCTCATCACTTTGTGTTGAACAGAAAGTCTTTACGAGAACACAAACTCTGTTTCAGTCTTTGCTTCCATATTGTTCCGCTGTGATCATGGACCTCGTCTCGCCCACGCAGGTTCGTAGCCCAGAATGCCATGCGACTGCAGAAACTCGGAGTGACGCACATCCTCAACGTGGCGGAGGGCACCTCCTTCATGCACGTCAACACCAGTGCGGAGTTTTACGCCGGCACCGGCATCACGTACCACGGCATCAAGGCCAATGACACGGAGCAGTTCCACCTCAGTGCCTTCTTCGAGGAGGGGGCTGATTTTATCGACAAGGCCCTAGCGCACAATAACGGAAAAGGTACGTTTACTTATTCATTTTGTTATGTTATGAATTCGCCCCTGTCCGTTTGTGTCCACGAAACTTGGTGGAAACCTGCAGGACGCGTCAGGGAACAAGTGAACAAACACGTCCCACTGTGTGCGAAATACGTTCGAACGAATTTCGGGTCTCGGCTCCAAACATCTTCTATTGTATTTCATATATTTCTGCTTATAGCTTCGTCAGTTTACCTGCGATGAGCAATGGTTCCTTAAAAGTACAGACTGTTGCTGGTCTAACAAAGTGTAGAAGATTTCATGCTCTGTGAGGGTTTCAGTGCTGTGGATCTGTGCAGGGAGATGATGATGATGATGGTGGTGGTGGTGGTGATGGTCCTCAGCGTCTCAGGCTAAATCTGATACACTCCCGAGCCCTGCTCCACATTCCATTATCAGATCACGTCCCTCGTGCACATCACACCTGTAGTGCTAAAGCTCCGCCTCCTTTTTTAAACACTAGCTAAGTTGTGCTCAACAGGAGCTGTGACACAGAATGAAACAGGAAACCACCAGGGAAATTAGACTGAAATTAGACATTTGATATATAAATATTCTACAGCAGATGAATCCCAGGGGACTTCTGTGTTGTAACGAGAGGGTGAAGGAGAAAGGAGGGAAGAGGACGAAGGACGAGCAGAAACAGGAGAAGGTGTCTCACCTCCTGCTGCCTGTGTTTTCTGTAGTTTTCCATTGTGCAACATTATCTTTGACATTTTCTGACCCCTCAGCTTTGAGCAGCCAAAAGGTCACGGCTGCAGGATTTTAACGAGGAAGCGCATCAGTGCATTGTTCGTAAGAATGTCACACTGGGGAATTGGTCGTGTTTACAAACTCCTCCTGCATCTGTGCACAGATTTATAACGAGAACCTCTCAGCAAAATCATCAGCTCATTTAATCCGGAGGAGAAATGTGATTTTAATTCAGAGTTCAAGTTGTAGAGACGAACCCACAAAGAAACATCTTGTTCCTTTCAGCATCTTTTAGCTCACGTTTTTTTTGTCTTATAACCTAAAGTTAGGTTTATTCTACCGTCAGTTTGTTTTTATTATTACGTTTTCAGGTAAAAACTCTCAAATGTTTTGCCTTTTGAACACGTTATCTTAACAACGCCTCGAGAGACTCCTTAGAAATTTGGCACTGGTGTTCACTTAGAGTCACAGACCAACTGATCAGGTTTGGGTGGTTAAAGGTCACAGTTACCTGAAACTGCAGGGATCGGTGGAGGCGTATAAAAAGAGTGAGTTAACGTATGAGAGAAGAGAGGAAGAGAAGGACGAAAGGAAAAATTGGCAAGTATTGAGCGACGCAGTGTGTCAAACAAGAGGATACAGTAGAATCAACATTGATCTGTGGCAGGGAGATTAGATACTGAAGAGGTTGTCTCATTGGCAGAGGACAGAGGAGGAGAGGATGGGGGTGGAGAGGAGAGAGGAGGAGAGGATATAGAGGAGGAGTGGAGAGAGGAGGAGTGGATGGAGGGAGATTGTATGACAGCGGAGAGGAGAGCGATGTGAGAATAATACCATGGGAGCGACACGGATCGGTTTCGGGTTTCAGATAAAGTGCAGAATCTGCAGATGTGACCTGAGCCCGACACATCAGCTGCCAAGTGGAATCCCTCCTGAGGTTTCATCTCGTCTTTAAAGAAAGTTACACACAAACAAGACAAACAGGGCGGACAATACAAATACAGGACAGGGATCATACGTGTTGTGTGCTCCCGCAGAGTTGTTCCTTTACGCAGGACGAGGAATCGATGTGAGATGAGGCTGCAGTGAAGATGATTGACTTTGCCGAGTCTGCAGCAGAGGTCAGGTCTTGTATTTGCATCTTCTGGCTCAGAAAGTGCTTCGCTAGACAAGTTTGCTCACAGCATATGTTCCCCAAACTCCTGCTCTCCTTTGTTTCCTTTTTTTTCATTTGTTTTATTGTATTTTTTGTTCTAAGAAACCACCATGACGTCGAAGTCCTGCAGCATTTTCTCATATTTACACGTTGAAATAAAACGTGTATTTATTTATCAGATAAATCTCAACATGCATTTCTGAACTCTGTATCTTTGTCCTGCAGGGAAGGTGTACGTACACTGCAGAGAAGGCTACAGCCGCTCTCCCACCATGGTCGTCGCTTACCTCATGCTCCGCCACAAGATGGACGCCCGGCTGGCGGTGGCCACCGTGAGGCATAAGAGAGAGATCGGTCCCAACGACGGCTTCCTTCGCCAACTGTGCCAACTGAACGAGAAGCTGGCGAAGGAGGGCAAGCTGAACGGCGAGGTGGGAAAACTAAAGACCAAATGATATTAAGAAACCCTCCGCCCCCCCGTCTCCTCCCATCATGCCTTTCACAGGCTTCAGCTGCTCTCGGAGACTGACCCCACCCAGACTAAACCAGCACTCATATGACGCCAGGGGTATTATTCTGAATCACAGACATACATTCATCGATCTGTGTAGATAATTATTCCTCATTCACACACACACATGCACACGCCGTTTCTTTTCTGAATCTTTAGTCCACGTCTCCCTGCTGCTCAGCAGGGGGCATCTGTCCGTCCTCTGCCTTCTCCGACAAAGAGTGTGATCTCAAATACTTCAAACGAACCCCTCAACCCCCCCTTTGTTACCTCTTCACCGAACAGATGCGCAGACGTCTCACCGCTCGCACCTGAAAGCTCTAAATTTATATCTTTTTTGAGCTGAGCCACTTTAAGCATTCCTCAAGATCCCACAAGTTCAGACGGTGAAAACTTTACCCTGATTTATAAAAAAAAACTTGTAAATACAAGATTATAGCACAATCATTCCATAGTTTTCCACTGCCGGGAATGTCAGCGATGTCTCCGCCAGCAGGAGTTCTCTATAGGTTCCAAATAAACTCCTAGATATCGAAAGTCATTGACGCCGAATGTTGCAGACGAAATGAGTCGGATATGTAAATATATGCGAATGGATGGAGGATAAGTCCAAACATTCCAGGAAAACTAAAAGAAAAGCCCCTTAGAGTTAAGTTTGCCCACACAATCTTTAAAATCGTCCTTCCGCGAGGACAGATGTTTAATGCACAAACACAGAAACTCACACTCTGTTCCATCGTAGCTTTGTGTAGAATTTTACTTATTTCATTTTCTGGCCTCTAGTTTGACGGCAGCTGAGTCAGTGAACATCAGAATTAAAAGCGTATTTGGCCGCTGACACGATGAGACACAAGCCTTTCACTGACGTATCTGAGTTTTTGGTTTCTGATATGAAAACTTATTTCACAAAACAGACATTTTATACCAAAAAGTTCTATATTGG